ATCCTATATCGATCTCTGAATAAGCAGTGTCTTCCTCCTTTCCCAGCTCTTTTGACTCATCAAACCTACTCTGCCTGAAATCTAAGCAGAAACAGAGTGAAACACGTGATTTTCCATGATTTAATTTTTCAAGTTAATCTTGTCCCTTGTGCTTTAGCTATCTTCTGTTCCTCTGAGAGAATCTGAGTTCCACACTGAGATAGATAAATGTCATAGGAGAACCACAGGCACTCAAATTGTAGCCAGGTTTGAGTGGAATGCAGTAGTACATACAGATCAATCACATAAATTGCACCAGCTAAATCCCAGTTGGAGTTGTTCAGACAGCCCGACTTCAAGAGCTCAGAAGCTGTGCTTCAGGACTTGGATTCACTCTGATGTATTTGTCAAGAGTCAGCCAGGAAACCAGAGAATCCAGTCCTTCCTTATACTAAGTGATATGTAGTTGAAACAGTGAAACTATTATAATTCTGTTTTGTAAATAGAAGGTCCCTCTTATAATTCAAGCAGACAGCAGCTGAATGTGGACTATAGTTTTATAATAATTTATAATGTTTTATAAATTTATATTTAGAATTTTTGTCATTTTTCAGAGTAATGGCTCTGAACATGAAAAGAAACCCCATACATCAAAGGTGAAAATTAAGGTAATGACTAATTCATTTTCTCTACTACATGCAGACTTTAAGACTTGGTGTCCTTGCTTGAAGCTCTGAAGATCTGCCATATTCACATAATAAATTGCCACATAAGTGCTGTTGAATGAGTGTGTAATAAATGACAGAAGAAATTTGCTTTGTAAAATTGAGGTGAAGAGTGAGACTTTCCCAGTATAAATATGTGACTCTTATTTCTCAATCAATACACTCTTTAAAAATTCTGAATTCCATGCCTCCTAGTCCTATTCCTTCCTTTTCTCATCCGTGGTCTCTCATTTATGATAACAATAGTTCCCTAATGCTTGAAGCTGAGCATCTAACCCCTGCTTCACTGAATATAATGAAAGAAAAATTTGAGGAATCTCTGGATTGGGAGAGTTTAATATGCAAGAGGTTAAGTTTTTTTTTTCTTTTTCTTTCTCTTTGTTTTCTAAGCTGGGTTATTCTATTGTCAATTTGGTTAAACAGGAAAACACATTTCCGGTAATCCTCTTATTCTTGTGGTTCTGAGTATAAAAGTGACTATGCACAATATTTGGAAGGCAGTCAGGAAGTGGCACAGTTCTCTTTAGAACAACTCCTTGGTCAGAAATGGGAAAGGCCCAGGGTTTTGGCTGATCCCATTTTGTTCTTCCTTTTTACCTGGCAACAAATAACTAACTCCAAGGCACTTATAGTTGTCATCATCACAATACTTCTTGAATAATTAGGATATCACAAGAACAGCTACAACAACTTGCTCCTGAATCCCATGCTATTCACAACAACTAATTAGTAATTGTGATGTTACAGTCTTTCAGGATGTATCACCACCCTCACTGACCCTGAATAATGGGATCATTGTTAGCATCAGGTTATGAATAATTTAATAAGAATTCTGTGTATTATCTTCCTAGGATCACCTTGGTACCAAATCTCTTACAATGAGTTCCTCGAGAAGCCAATCCTGAAAGAAGGATTGAGGGCAAGTAGTTTATTTGGGAAATTCAGGAATCACAGGTAAAGAAAGAAGAGGGCAAGTAAAAGAAGGAATATCAATATCCTCATAAGGATGTGAGGAAATAGGAGTTTTTTTTTATTTGCTGATGAAAGCCAAAATTGACAAGAATATTTTGGGGAGCAATTTGGCAAACACTAGTAAAATTTTAAAAGTACAAATCATGTAATCCAGCAAATACCACTCCCAGTTATACAATAAGACATTCTTTGCCTACACATAAGAAAACATCTGTAATTATATTCCTTGTAGAATTTTTTAAATTAAAAAACTGGTAACCCCCTTTTAATAAAGGACTAACAAAATTCTTTCTCCTTTTACATGAAAAAAATTAGGTTAACTTGTCTCTCTTCCTCTGGAAATCTGATGAAGGTAGAATGACAGCTATCTTTCTAGGTAACATTGCTAGAGTAGAAATGATCCTTACCTAGAAATTGTATCTGGCCATAAATGACCTATGAATTCTTGGTGGGTTCCATAGCTCTGGGTCAGTGATTTGTGCAACTGATATGGGAGACTTTGGTTTCTGTTTGGGACCTGAGGCCTGTTTGGTCTTGTTCATTCACATTTGAGACCTTGACATGGGAGGAGGGGAGGAAGGAGTTGTTAAAAGAATAAAAAGTCCAAGAACTGTGGACTGCTAAAATTAATACCTATGTGGCCTGTTGAGCTTTGCACATTTGACTGTTTAGTTAAGCTGGAGACCATTACAGATGGTATCACACAATCCAAATGTCCATTAGGAAGGGAATATGGTATCTTCAAAAATGGAGATACAGCATAGCAACTAAAACTGTATATCTACATGTATTAATGTTTTATATCTCAAAAATATTTACTGTGAAAAAAAGTAATTTTTACAATTACATATGATATAGGATAGACCCCATGTAAATTAAAAAAAATACAAAATAAAGAGCCACACATTGTTTACAAATATATATGTATTAGAGGGATAGAAACATGCACTTGAGAAACTAGTTTTTTATTATTTGTTTTTAATGAGAGTACAGGAGGGAATGAGATCAAGGAAGAAAAATAAGAAATAATAATTTTAATAGTAATATTTTATTTCTTTCTAAAAATTTGAAGCAGGACTTTTGAGCATATTAATTTGAAGAAATATAATGTTATTTTTAAATATATTGCAATATGTTCCTATGGAAAATATAACTATGTCTAAATATTTGGGGCTTTCTAATTCTATTCTATATCTGTGTATTATGTAAAGTTTTCACATGTATAAAATAATTATATAAATAAAACTGCTTTGGTATCCCAGGCAGGGTTGCTGGAGTAAAGATGGGGAATACTTTTCCAGATGTTTGAGGTATCTGATTCCAGGAATTGTATTTCATAACTTTCAGTCTGGAATTGAAAATATAATATAACATTTCTCCTCATAAGTACTGTGCCAAGTATCCACTTGCAGTCATTTGTAGCGTGGCCTGTGTCCTTGAGTCTCATGGAGAGAATCAGCCTCTCAGAAACAGTAGAGAAAGAAGTCTGAAGAACAAAACATTAAATAAGCATACATTACTCATGAATAATTATTTTTGTATGTATGGTTGTGGAGATCAACCCAGGACTTTGCAAATTTTAGGCAAGTGATCTAACACTGAGCTACATCTCCAGCCTCTCATGAATAATTTTATTATCTTACCTCATTTCCTGAAATTCTTTAAATTCATATACCACAAATAGCCATATCAATATGATTTAAAAAATAATGCTGATCCTATTTGGCTAAGGAAAATAATTGTGCACAATCCACTATTATTCTCCATATCTTTAATTTCCTATAATCTTCATCTCTTAATCATGACAGCACTAGGAAGTACAACAAAAATCCCAACTCTCCTCCTCCTCCTCTTGATTCTCCTTCAATATCCTCAAATTTTAGAATACAAAGAATAAAAAATTATGGCTTTTTCCTCCTAGCCAGGGGAAAGCTTTTTCCTCCTAGCCAGGGGAAAGATCTTTTACTGCCACTGCAGATACTTAATTAGTTAATCTTCAGGGACCAAATGTTGCTAAACTTTGCTTATTTTATAATATAATATTATGTAATATTATATTTTATAATAACTATATTGTTATTGTAGTAAGGCTAAACAGATAAGACACAATTTATAAAAGTCCAACTGTGAAATCATATGAAAACAGAATGAGGGTAAAAAAAAAAGAGAGCAATGATAATATTAGTGAAAATTTCACTATCTTACCAATTTTAAAGATTTCTGATGTGGGTATTTTAGAATTTAAGATACCAACAAAATAAGCATTGACTTTCATAACTGGGGAAAACAAAACAAGCTTTTCTATAAAATAATGGAATTTGGTACTTAGATTTGGCATCTTTTCTCTCCTTAATAGTCCCTTTAAAAAATGCTAAAGAGTTTGAGTTCTTCACTGTTCTTTCTTCAATCCTCCTAATTTATCATTTATGTCTGCATGTTCTAAGCCATTCACCATCACACTTGATCTCCTCCTTTCTAATTAAGGCTCCTAAAAATGTGAGAAAATAACTAACAGAGAGGGGTCAGAGAAAAGGCTCCAGGAAAACTACCTTAAAATTACCAAGTTAGGAAGGTAGTGCTATAGAAGAATGGCCCAAGACAGAGCTGAAGCAGCCGGCATAGTCTTGATAATGGGTTCTTGCCATCACACTGGAAAGATTGCAGACAGGTTGCTCAGAGTAGCAGGCATGGGTTTATTAGAAGGGACAGGAAAAGGGAATAAAGGGACACTCCTAAGGAAGAGAATGGGTCCACTCAGCGAAGAGAAAAACAGTGCACTCCTCTTGTCCTCCAGTTTTATTAAGGGTCTCAGAGAAGTTTCCAGAGACTCCCTCTAGGTCCACCTCTTGACTTCTGAGGGCAGTATTTCATCAAACTTCCAAGCCCATGGAGGGGAGATCTGACTTTTATAATGACATGCTAAAGATCCAAGGCCATGCTGGGTCACTTTGGCCTCACTGACTTGTCCTTACAGATTTTATGGTTTGGGGGCTTTGTTCTTTATTACTTTATCTTCCTGATTTCTGGAATGTGATCGGTGTCAAGGCCACAAAGCCCTCCTTTCAGGGTAGTTTAAATTCTACTAATGAGCAAGGAAGAACCTTTTGGGCCTTCCTTTCTCCTGCAGATAACAAACTTTTAGCTGAAGAATGTAACATATGCAATTAACTTAAGCCAGGAAGCTCTGCAGGCAATTTGCTTTTTATAAGAAAGTATATGGGGTCAGCACAGCAGGCCCAGTTTATAGAATTATCCCCTTCACCTCAAGTCCCCCATTGCTCATGTTTAGTAAAGGAGAATTACCTTTTGTCTTGGATGTTTAAAAAATAGAATGATGAATGAAAAGCAAACCTCTTCTGTGCTATGTCACATTCCTTAAGTTCAGCCACTTAAGTATTTATCACCCACGCTGGCTCAGCAAGTCCTGGGAGCCTACACACTGTGGAATAAGAGCACCATGGCTTGTACGATGTCAGAATCCAAAATCTCCCAGACACAGTTCTCCTCCCTGTAATATCACAAAGTTTATGTTCAGCTCCCCCTGCAGCCCCAGTCACTGTGGCAACCAGAACACAGAAGTACTCAGCTGAGTCGCTCCAGTGCACAGAGGGTTTCCTCAGGTTGAAGGAAGATTCACTCTTCTTAGCTTCTGCCTCAAAGCCTTTGATGCCTTGAACCAGGGTATTTCCTGAAATGTACTTGAGGAGAGGCTGGAGGCCTTGGTTGGGGTACTGGACATACCAGAAGAGAGAAAACGAACCACCATAGGAATAGTTGCAGGCCAGTTCCAGAGCGTTTCCTTCAGAAATAGTGACCTGCCTGTCAGGCTGGGTCACTGACTGAGCTCTGGAATCTCCTGCAAAATTAATGTTATGTCAGTAAGTGCCAGGAAGGCTTTACTATAGAAAGTACTTTTACTAAGATTTGAATCAGAAAGCAATGGCTTAGGTGGATCTAGGGAACATCAAGCAATTGTACTCACTCAGAGCATAATGTATCCCTAGGAATAGGATAAGTATGAAGTGCATGGCCGACCACTGAGAATGCTGAAGGCGGCTTTCTGGAAAATTTCCTCCTAGTGAGCAGGAAAGTGGCTGAGAAGCCCAGCTCTTGGAAAAAGATGGTGTGAGAAAGGTTGGGCTAGACACATCCCTTGCTTAGGCACAATAACAAAAACTGATGAAATGCTCCCCAGTGCCATCTGCCCCCCAGATTTTCCTCATTTGTCCCTTCCTTAGAGGACTCGGTGAGGGTCCTCCAATCAGCAGCAGGTAGGAGGGACTGAGCTGAAAGCGCTGATCAAGGGAAGCAGGGACTTCTGGCCTGGGTAACATCGCCCTCTGGAGGTCGGATAAAAAATGACGATACAGACTGCCCACAGGAAGCTAATCTGTGCTTTCCTTTTGTTCAGAGTTATGCAAAAACTTTCACTGACTATTTCTTTCTTTCCTAATAGATGCTTGGTCAACCTCTGTAGCAGATTGAATTAAACCTAGCTTTAATGAAAAATAGGGACTGTAAAACGAAGAACAAATTTACTTTAGAGAAAATGATCACACAACAAAACTAATCGATTTTGGATTCCATTACCACTGTCGTGCTTGGGCAGAGACATTGAGATCAACTTCCCTCCATTGAGCTATGGATGGCCTTGTTGGCAGTGAGCATCCTGCCAAGGAGGAAAGATTGTGGTAGGATGTGTAAACAATTACCTTGACTGGTGAAAATTAAAACTAGATTAGCAGTCTAGAACATGGGCCCTCACCTAGGAAAATTAAGTTAGAGTATCTTTGACTACTTCAAGCAGAATTAAGAAGATTCAGTGGCTTTCTTTAGATCAACAACAATAATATAATATCAATTAATACATTAATCTACTCTGAACGTGACTGGTGTATGATATCCAATTCTGGATGCCTCATCATCAAAGGAGCATTGATAGGCCAGAGCATTTACAGATGAGATAGGCCAACTGATGAAAGCATTGTAAAATCAAACATAAATAATGTTGGAAGGATTTAAGGCCAGTGTAAAAGTAAATTTGCATTAACTGCAGAACCCTGGGAGTATCAGTGCCAGAGCAGAGCCAGGAGAAACTTCTCAGAGGCATAGAACATAGTGGAGAAATCTGATCATGAAACCCAACTTAGGAAGCAGAAGTTTTTTGTGGGTGAAAGTCAGGTCTTGTAAAATGAGGGTAGTGTTGATTGTGGCCAAGAGCAAAGTCATTCCTATGAAAGTGAAGCCTTTTCTTTTCACCCACTTGAGGTGTTAGACACATGGAGCTATCAATATAGGTAGCCAGCAAGCGGCTTTCCATCAGTCTAATAGGACTCTTTTTCTTAAGTTGGATATATTCTTTCCCAGAGATGTGATTATTCCTAGCAACATGAGTCAACTCTGTTCTGAGGATCTGCATTTTTCAGCTTCTTTTTGTGTGTACATTGTCTCTTATTCATGTCTTAGTTTAAGAACTTAAACGTCCATGGAAAATACTTCTGATTCTAGATATCAGATGATCGCACCTGCTCAGGGATCCATCTCGCCAAAATCCCTATTAATGAAAGAAGAAAAATATAAATCCAGTGATGGTTAAACCAGAGAAATGAAAGCCACTGTGTAGCTTTCTGGCAATCAGTCCATGAGAAGACTGCTGAAATGGAAATCCTAAGTAGATCTTCAATTGATATCAGTTGTGGAGATTCAAGATCAAGGAGACTCAGAAATAAATCACTTTGGAATCCATCTAAGTAAAGATGTGAAAGACCTCTACAATGGAAACCTCAGAACACTAAAGAAAGAAATTGAAGAAGACTTTAGAAGATGGAAATATCTCCCATGCTATTGGATAGGCAGAATTAACATTATCAAAATGGACATACTACCAAAATTGTTATACAGATTTAGGGCAATTTCTATTAAAATCTCAATGACATTCTTTATAGAATTAGAAAAAGTAATCATGAAATTCATTTGGGAAAATAAGAGACCCAGAATAGCCAAAGCAATCCTTAGCAAGATGAGTGAAGCAGGAGGCATCATAATACCAGACCTTAAATTATTCTACAGAGACATAGTAACAAAAACAGCATGGTATTGGCACCAAAATAGAAATGTAGACCAATGGTACAAAATAGAAGACACAGAGACAAACCCACATAAATAAAGTTATCTCACATAAGACAAAGGTGCCCAAAACATACACTGGAGGAAATGATAGCCTATTGAACAAATGGTGCTGGAAGAATTGGAAATCCATATGTAGCAAAATAAAATTAAACCTCTATCTCTCACCCTGCACAAAGATCAACTCAAAGTGGATCAAAGACTCAGGCACTAGAATAGAGACCCTGCACCTAATCAAAGGAAAAAGTAGGCCCAAATCAACATCATGTAGGCTTAGGATCTGACTTCCTCAACAAGACTCCCAAAGCACAAAAAGTAAAATAAATGGGATGGATTCAAACCAAAAAGCTTCTTCTCAGCAAAGGAAACAATAATATTCACAAAGAACCCACAGAATTGGAGAAAAACTTTACCACATTTACCTCAGAGCATTAATCTCCAGCATATAAAAGGAACAGAAAAAAATCAACACCAAAAAAAACAAAAAACACAAATAACCAATCAATAAATAGGCATAGGAACTGAACAGACACTTCATAGAAGAAGAAATACAATTGCTCAACAAACATGAAAAAAACGTTCATCATCTCTAGGGATTAGAGAAATGCAAATCAAAACTACTCTAAGATTTCATCTCACTCCAGTCAAGATGGCTATTATCAAGAATAGAAGCAATAAGATTTGGCAAGGGGAAAGAGGAAAAAGGCACACTCATACATTGCTGATGGGACTGCAAATTGGTGCAACCACTATGGGAAGCAGTATGGAAATTCCTCAGAAAACTGGGACTGGAACCACCGTTTGACCCAGCTATCCCACTCCTTGGTTTATACCCAAAGGGCTTAATATCACCATACTACAGTGATGCAGCCACATCAATGTTTATAGGAGCTCAATTCACAATAGCTAAGCTATGGAAACAACCTAGATGCCCTTCAACAGATGAATTGATAAAGAAAATGTGGTCCATATACACAATGGAATATTACTCAGCCTTAAAAAAGAATGGAATTATGGGATTTGCAGGTAAATGGGTGGAACTAGAGAATGATACTAAGTATGATACTAGTAGGATACAAACCAAAGGCTAAATGTTTTCTCTGATAAGCAGATACTGATCCATAGTAGGAATGAGGTAGGGAAGAATGAAGGAACTTTGGATTGTGTAGCCGTGACTGAGGGGAGGGGTGGGGTTGTGGGGATGGAAAGGATGGTAGAATGAAACTGATATTATTGCCCTATGTAAATGTATGATTACATTACTGGCATGACTCTACATCATGTACAGCCAGAGGAATGAGAAGTTGTGCTCCATTTGTGTACAATGTGTCAAAATGCATTCAACTATCATGTATAACTAATTAGAACAAATTTTTAAAAATTAAAACTTAAAAAAAATCAAGGAGATTGAAAAGCAGCATCAAAAACTTTGTTCCTATGGAATTCTACCCAACTTTTAAGGAAGAACTAACATCATTTCTTCTAAAACTCTTTCCAAAAATTGAAAGAAAGGAAATTCTTTTGAATTCATTCTATGATGCCAACATTACCCTGATACCCAAAGTAGACAAAGATAAAACAAAAACAGAAAACTATAGTCCAATTTACCTATTGATCAGATATGGAACGATTCCAAACAGAATACTAGCAAATCAAATGCTACAGCAAATCAAAAAGATCATTACCATGATCAACTGGGATTTATCACAGGTTGGTAAGGATTTTTAAACATTAAAAAAAATCAATAAATAGGTCACATCAACAGAATGAAGGATAAAAATTATATGATCATCTCAAAAGGTGCAGAAAAAGCATTCAACAAAATTCAACATCCCTTCATGATATAAACCCTGTACATTAGGTATAGAAGGAACACACCTCAACATAATAAAGGCTATCTATGACAACCCCACAGACAACATCACACTAATAGGGAAGGACTGAAAGCATTTCCAGTAAGATTTGGAACTAAATAAGTATTACTCTTCTCACCAGTTTTATTCAAGATAATACTGAAAGTTTTAGAGCAATTAGGCAAGAGAAATAAATAGAAGGCATAAATAGGAATGGAGGAAGTCAAATTATCCCTGTTTGCAGATTGATAAAATCCCATGCATAGGAAACCCTAAATACTCCATCATAAGACTTTTACAACAGATAAATTCAGTAAGGTGCAGGATACCAAATTATCATACAAAATTCTATAGCACTTTTATATGCTAGTAATGAGATTTTTGAGAAAGAAATCAAGAAAGCAATCCCATTCACAATAGCTAATAGTAATAATAATAATAATAAAAATATGCCAGGGAACAGTTTTGATCAAAGAAGTGAATACTTCTGCAATAAAAATTATGAAACAGTAATGAAAACATTGTTGAAGACACAAAAAATAGAAATGAATCCTATATTCATTTAATATACAATTAAATTAATATACAAATTTCCATATGATTCAAAGCAATCTATAGCAGCAAATAAGCTGACTAAAACAAGCAACCTACAGATTCATTGGACTCCCTAACCAAATAACAATGCTATTCTTCACAGACCTAGATTTAAAAATATCCTGAAATTCACATGTGTTATGGTTTATATATGAGGCATTCCCCAAAAGCTCATGTGAGAGACAATGCAAGAAAGTTTAGAGGTGAAATGATTGAGTGTGAGCACCTTACATTAATTAATTAATGTAATCAGTACCTTAATCTATTAATAGGAATTAACTGTTAGGTAGGGTATGGCTGGAGGAGGTGGGTTCTTGGGGACATGCATTTGGAGTATATATTCTGTCTCTGCTTCTTGGTGTCCATGTCCTGACCTGCTTTGCTCTGCCACACATTTTCCCCATGCTATTCTACCTCATCTCAGGCCTTGAGGAATGGAGCTGGCTGTGCATGGAATGAGACCCAGAGTGCCAAATAAACTTTTCTTCTTTTAAAATTGTAATTGTCAGGTCTTTTGGTCACAGCAGCAAATAAACTGACTAAAACACCATCAAAGCACAAAACACCTTGAATAATCAAAACAATCTTGAGCAAATAGAACAT